AGTCCAAAAGGCTGTAAACAGGGCAAGAACCCAAGAGGCTGTAAACAGGGCAAGAACCCAAGAGGCTGTAAACAGGGCTGAAACATGTGTGTTGCCAATTGAAAATAATTTTAAACATCCAACCCACTCAACTGGAAAGAGCAATATGTTTCATATTATGAACAAAAATTGTCAACTTTTGGACTTTCTATGCACAAAAAAAAATGCTAATATTTTAGAACAATATGCATAGGAACTGAGATAAAACTGTAAATAAATATGACAGGATACAAATAATAACAAGCTCTATAATCACAGGCAATAAAATGTCACCATTAAACCCTGTGTTCATATATACAAATGAGATGGAATGCTAAAAACATACACAAATCTTGCTTCCGATGTTGTTGATGAAAAGGATAAATGTGATTGATTAACAGAAAACCAAAGTTTAGCATTTTTGGTATCATTATCAACTGTGAAATACTTTATTTTAGCTGCAATAAATTTTCGCTGAAAAGGCATTTTGGATGTTTTGTATGGAATTTATTTTCACTGATTTTTGACGAGTTGAATGTGAAATATAGGAAAAAAAGTATATTCGCTGGATTTTATTTTCACAGAATCATCCTTTCAACGAAAATAGCGAAAATAAATTCCAAGCGAAAATAAAGTATTCTACAGTAATCTAGTTCAAGCCTACAATGAAGCTCACATGAAGAATATGAAAATTATAACAAAAAAGAACTGTCATACACTAGTTTAATAAATATATATATAAGTTTTCTCTGATGTAATAAACACTCTCTATCAGCTTCAACATCTCATTCATCACACCTACACACATATGTAGCCTTGAAATGTTATCAAAGTATCAATACAAATACCACCAATCTCAAGGTCATGTTCTATATCAATGAACCGCTCCAAGACATTCTATTCTCTGTGAATACAAATTCTGTGGAAACATAATAAATTTGTTGTCAACTTCATAAAAAATAAACTTGCAAAATTTTTCCATATTTTTTTTTTCAAAAAAATTTTGCTCCAGACTTGGTGACAATAAAAAAATTATGGTCCATAATTATAAAATTTATAGAAAAATGCAAAATAAATTTACAAAATTTTAGTGGTAAGAGTAACCAAGAGTGTGTTGAAATTAAGATATTTACCAGAATATCACATAATAACTATCCAGTCTAACTGATATCTCTATACACAGAGATTAACAGTGATAGTAAACGGTCTAGAAACGGTCATTGTATTAGGTGTGAATTGGTCTCCTTCCCTGGCAAAGGCGCATTGCGGGTGTGGGAAAAGCATTGTCACGTGATCAGTACGTGATTTGACATCGTCAGTGTTATGTATTTTTTTTACAACTTAGTTGTTTATTCTAGAATTCGTACTTTTTCACATAATTTTTTAACCAGGATATCTGTATAAGGTCATATTTTAGCCAGCGAGTAGTTCTTTAATTCATCTATTTTACCAGCAGCGACACATTTTCGCAACAAATTTTCATACCTCTACCCAGATATTTGTCGTTTTTGATTTTGGGGTGATTGAAATTAATTCAATTTTATTTACCATACTTCTGTGCACGAAACCAATATTTGTCTTCAAATTTGACATTTTATGATCGAAACATATCATTAAAAATTGGTGGGCTGATTTGTTATTTGTCACACCGCATTTTATTAATGTTAAATTGAGCGACTTTTATGGATGTTTTTTAGATCGTAAATGCAAATGGCGACGTTTTGAAATGACAATGTATTCAATTCTGTGCTAAAAAATCATTTATATACAAACATTGAAGCATTGTTATATACTTTTTGGATAGAATAAAGTCATTAGTTGTTGTATAGTTGACTTG